GAGGACCGGATTCTTTGCGAGGGCGATGGCGGGCTAGTTGTCCACCATCAGTGCTGGCGGATGAGCTTCCTCGATGGTTAGCTCGCTTAGCCGCCGACGTAGCCAAACAGCTTGGCACACCGCTGTGGCCGCCGCCACGTACTCCGCCTCGCATGTAGACAATGCCACCACCTTCTACTTCAGCGACAGTCATGAAATTGGGGCCGACCCGAGGAAGACGAGCACGCGGGAGGTGCTCTGTCGTCCATCGATGTCGCCCATCATGTCTACATCGCTGAAGACCATGAGCCGCAGCCCACTTCCCCCGCCGGTCTTGGGGAAGACGATAACCTGATCCACCGTCCCATTGACATAGCGCAGCAGCCGCTACACCGTGGCCCAATGATCCTCTTAGGGATCCTCCATGAAGTGGATGACATAGACCATGACGAACGCAATGTCCGGCCTCGTGTGAACTAGGTAGCGTAGCCCACCGACGATGCTCTGGTAGAGTGTTGCATTTACCTTCGCCGTGGTGCTAGCTTTTGTCAGCTTTAGCCGCTCCTCCATCGGAGTCGCACATGGCACGCAATTAGCCATGCCGCTCCGCTCCAACAGCTTCGCCGCGTGTGCGCGCTGACCGAGCGTGAGCGCCTCCTTCTCCTGTTTCACATCGATGTCGAGGTAGTAAGAGAGTGTGCCGAGATCGCTCATTTGAAAACAAGCCACCATCTCACGCTTGAAGCTGTCGATGTCCTCCGCATGCGCGCCGGTGATGATCAAGTCATCCACATACACACCGATGATGAGCTCCTCCTTCCCCGTCGCCACGTGTAGAGCGTGTGCTCTATTGCGCAACATGTGAACCCAAGCGCACCCAGCGTAGATCGAGCTTGGCGTTCCACACCCTCAGGACTTGCCATAGCCCATTGAGCGCCTTGCGCAGTCTGAGCACCTTGTGCTCTGCTCCCTCGATGGTGAAGCCTGGAGCTTGCCTGATGAAGACCGTCTCCGCTAGCTCACCGTTGAGGAAGGCCGATTTCACATCCAGGTGATGGACACGCCAGTCCTTTGCCACTGCCAGAGCTAGCAGTAGTCGGACGGACTCCATGCGCGCCACTGGAGCAAAAACTTCCTCGAAGTCGATGCCCTCGCGCTGGACGAAGCCACGAGCAATGAGGCACGCCTTGTGCTTGACGATGGTGCCACGCTCGCCCCGCTTCACCTTGTACACCCACTTCAGCCCGGTCGGACGGCATCCTGGAGGTAGATCGATGAGCTTCCAAGTCTCATTTTCCTCGATCGCCTTCATCTCCTCTAGCATAGCCCGTCACCAATTGGCATCGCGCTCGGCCAGTGTGAATGTGGGTGGCTCCTCTGCACTGATGAGAAGCAGCTCTAGATCATCGAGCAGTCAACTCATCAGGCCTGAGGACCCTGTGTTGCCAACGATGTTGTCTAGCCTACGGAACCGCACCTTCTCACTATCATGGAAGGCATCCATGAACTCGTTGATATCGCTTGGACGAGAGGCGAACTCAATCGGTGTCGATGGAGTCCCTTGTTCTATCGGAGTGGTCGGCACTGCTACTGGAGTGCACGGCACCCCTGCTGGAGTGCTCAGGACCACTCCTGGACTGCTCGGCACCACTCCTGGTGTGGTCGGCACTAGTCCTAGAGTGGTCAGCACCACTGCAGGACCGCTCGGCTCCGCTATTGGAGCGCTCGACACCCGTCCTAGAGTGGTCGACACCACTACAGGATAGCACAACACCACTACTAGAGTGCTCGGCACCACTCCTGGAGTGATCGGCTCTGCTGCTAGAGTGGTCGTCACCTCATCTCCAACATCTCCAACACCATGGATGACCAAGTGCTCGACGACGAAGGTGTTGCTGAAGCCACCAGCTTCCCCCATGCCCAAACCATCCCAGTCCTAGGCCGCCTTCTCGTCGAACACGACGCCACATGAGACAACCACCTTGCCTCCGCGAGGGTCATAGAGCCGATACGCCTTGGTGCCCTCCTTGTAGCCCAAGAGCACCATCGGTGTGCTCCTGTCTTCTAGCTTGGTGAGGTCTAGCTTTGTCTTCTTGACGTGAATGATGCAACCGAACGTCTTGAGCAAGGACACGCTCGTCTTGCGTCCGTACCAAGCTTCGAACGGCGTCACGCCCTTTAGGGCCTTTGTGGGTGTGTGGTTGAGGACGAACACAGCCGTGGTCACCGCCTCACCCCAAAACTATGACGGCATGCTCTTGGCCTTCATCATGGATCGAGCCATGCTAACCACCGTCTGGTTCCGCCGTTCCAACACGCCATTCTACTGTGGTGAGTACGGTGCGGTGTGGTGTCGCACCACACCCTGATCAGCATAGTACGCAGCAAACTCCATTGAAGTGAATTCAACGTCGCGATCTGTCCTCGGCACATGCAGCTTCTTCCTGGACTTTGCCTCCACCCACGCCTGGAACCTCTTGATCGCCTCCTCCGCCTCATCCTTTCTCGTCAGGAGTTTCAGCCACATGTAGCGATTGTAATCATCCATGAGCAGAAGGAAAATACCGCTGCTCGCCATGCATGGTCGGCGTGATTGGCCATAGAGGTCGCCGTGGACGAGCTCGAGGGCGTCCACCACGAGATACATGGCCGCCTATGAAAATGACAACCTCCTCTGCTTCTTGGCCAGGCAGCTGTCACACAGCTCGCCTATGTGCTCGATGTGGGGCAGCCCTCGGACCATCTTCTCTAGCTGACCGAGCGTGTCGAAGCTGAGATGTCTGAACTAGGCATGTCACAGCCATAGCTCCTCGGTGTGCCACACCGCCAGGCACACCGGCTACTCCACCTTCAGATCGAGCAGGTACAATCGATTATGGGAGCATTTTACCTTGGCGAGAAGACGCCACTCTCGATCGCGGATCTTCAAGATCCCACTGTCGATCTGCACCTCGCAACCACGCTCGTCCAGTTGTCCGATGATGACGATGCTTGAGCATAGCCGTGGGATGTAGTACACATCCGTCAGCGCGCGGTGCTCGCCATTCTGACACCGGAAGATGATGGTGCCATGGCCTTGAATCTCCACCTTCGAGCCATCGCCGAACCGACCCCGTCACGCCGCCATCGAGCTCAAAGAAAGCCTCCTTAGAGCCGGTCATATGGTTGCTGACGCCGGAGTTCAGGTACCACCTCTACTCCACCTCACCGCCCACTCATCCGAGATGGACTTGGGCGCGTGGCTAATCGAGGTTGATGGCCCGCGATGCAGTCCCCTGCTCACACAGCCTCCACCTCCTCTACTTTCTCCTCTGCCTCAACGTCGTGCAGCGCACAGAATGTCGCCATCAAGAGAGTTGGCTCATCGTTGTCCACCTGAGCCAGGTGAGCCTTAGCCTTCTTCTCCTTCTTTTGGTTCGGGCACTCCTTGGCCCAGTGGCCAGTCTTCCCACAGTGGCGGCAAGTGTCCCTGCCCAGGGGATCGCCACCCCTCTTCTTCCTCTGCTGTGGGGCCTTGATGCAGCGCTTGCCATCGCCACCACGGCCGGAGGAGGCTTCCCCAGACCGCTTCTCCCGCATCTGAGCAATCCACTCCTCCTCGATCATCAGCAGCCTGCCATCGACCGATGTTGCAGTCGCGCCTGTGCGGTCGTCCACCACCCGCAGACTCCCTGTCAGATCCTCAAACGTGAGGGTTGATAGGTCTAGCATCGTCTCGATGGAGAAAGCGATCTGGGTGTATTTGGGCGGTATGACACGCAGGTACTTGGAGACTGCCTCCTCTTCGTCAATGATGACGCCGTGAGCCGCCAGCAGGCTGACGAGGGACTGCAGCCGGAGGGCGAAGTCCTCCACCGCCTCCCCGTCGTGGAACACCAGGTCGTCGTACTCCCGCCGCTGTTGCTACACCTTCGCCTTCTTTGCGCGGTCGGACCTGACCCGTGTGGCCTTGAGGGCATCCCAAGCTTCCTTGGCGTAGTCCTTCAACCCCAACGGCTCCTGGTACTCTGGAGGCACGACGACTAGAATTGCCTCCAGCGCCGAGCAGTCCTCCTCTTCATCCTCGGCGCCCTGTCAACCACCTTCCAGAGCCGTCGGGCTCTGAGCTTGACCTTAATGGTCACCGATCACTCGCCATAGTTGGTACGAGTGAGGATCGGCCAATTGGCTCTGCCAACATCCCGCACAGCCCTCTAGATGACCACCTCGCGACGCACTGGCAACCGGGACTGCCGTGGTGACTTCTCGCCACCGCCTGACTGTCGTCGCCCTCCATCATCGAAGGCGAACACCCACCTTGGCTTTGATACCACTTGTGGGCCCAAGATCTCTCGCACGGGTGAGCAATCCACTCACTGGCACTCTTGCACACTCACACTAGTCTAGAGGTTGAAGAGAGAGTGAGAACAGCACCCACATCGAACAAGCACCAACGTTGGCCAAAACTCTGCTCGGGTGTGGAGAACTGAACTTCTGATGTTTATTGCTATGCATGAGTATATGTACAACTCTAGTTGTACCTTGCCTGCTATGATGCGCGAATACTTCTAGAGGGAAGCATGTAGCGTATCCGATACGTATCGGATACGGATACGGGGCGGATACGTCTTGGATACATCTTGGATACGCTACCGTGAGAAAGAAATGCAATAATGACCCATGTGAAGAATAATCTCAACACATAAAAGAAAAAACAGACTTTTCTAAAACGAAGCCAAGTAAACACAAGATAAATCCTTGCAAACGTCTAAGCATTATTAGAACTAAAAGACACAGTACCCCGGACGAACTGAGATAAGTACAATCAGAGGTGTCGTGCAGTGCATGAGGATAAGTGGATAACAACTCGAAATAGCATTCACTTGGTCATCGGGCTTCTAGTATGGGATGGGATGGTCAGATGGACACCTGCTGCACCCCTGAGCCATGGAACTAAATATATCTTGATCAAGCCTTCTTACCTGGAGCATGGTACTATTGGGATGGACGCCTGCTGCGTCCCTGATGTCATTCTCTAAAGCCTACACCTCATCAGCAACAGCAGCAGAGCAGTCAACATCGACGTCGACATGTTTGAGGCCTGCCAAATTCTGCAGACCAAGGACCAGGCCACCTTCCCACTTGAACTGGCACCGTGCCATCAGGTGCAGTTTGAGCCTTTCGAGCTTTGGCATGGCTCCCGGCTCAAACTCCAATGCCGCGTCACACCAATAACAGCGGAAATGAAACTTGAGCAAACGCTGAAATCCTTGTGGGTTGATTGCGTTCCTTTGGTAGACGATGCCTGAATCTCCATCTTTGTCATTGAATAAGCCAACAGTAAGAGAGAGCAGCATGGGTAAACTTGCTAGAATATTTGTTCCTTCCTTGCCTGCTTCACCACGGACAAAAATGCGGAGGCGGGTCAGGTTGACTAGTGAGCTGATTTGAGGGCCCATGCAATTTAAGTCACGTGTATTAAGAACAAGCTTTCGAAGTGGTGGTGAAGTAGGGACACACGAAGACATAAATGGACGTGTGGCATCAGCATCACTCCCCCACATGCGCAGTTCTCGCAGGCGCGTGAACAGCTTGGAGAGCAATGAGGTACATGCTTTCTTGTGGCCCTCCATATCACGGAATTCAGTAAAATACGGCCAATCAATTTTAAGTAATTTCAGATTGGTCAGATCACCGAGTCCTTAGATAAACTTTACATATTGAATACCCAAATTGATCCTTGATAGCTCTTCCAACGCCTGCAGACTTCCGATTACATCAGGTTGTTGCAATAAATGAACACAAAGCTCTATAGCTGTACTACGAAGTCTCAAACCTTTTTTGTCTTCCCATTGGCTGTCTGCAGCGGGCCGGGGTAAGCAGAAGCAGTGGTCGGTGGCTCTAGGAGACACGGATAAGTAATAGCAGTTCCAAGTGCACAAGACCCTTCTTAACATTAAAGCACTTCTAGTTAGTCTCAACAGTTCATTAATGATCAAAGGGGAGGAACCACAGTTTGCCCTCAAGCACCGTAACACATGTCACTAATAATTAACAGAAGAGTCACTGATGTATTCTACTCAAGCTTAAAATAACGTTCCACATGACAAAAAATTTGGGAGTTACGTTACAAATACTGATCGATCTAAATTTGGAAACAAATACAATAATGAACCATGTGACGGATGAACTCAATGCATAAAAAAGAAGACTAGAAATTCTAAAATAAAATGAAGTGTCGTACCAAACAAAACTAGGCAAGCAAACCTATCTAGGCATTGTCAGAACTAAAAGCCACATAGCAATTGGAACCACCAGTTTAAGCTCCCTGAAATACTGAGATAGCTATCAACCAGCGGTGCCGCCTGCCATACTCCGTACATACCTAAAAACGGAAAAAACATATGATAATTGGTGGTCATACTTATTCTCCACATCATGTACTCACAATGGTCTTCATTAGGCTTCTACTATGGCATGGTCGGATGGAGCCATCCAATCTTGATTTTGTCTTTGGATCTGGAGTATGGGACGGTTGGGATGGACGGCTGCTGTGCCCCTGATGTCATCCTCCAAAGCCTCCACCTCGTCAGCGACAGCAGCGTCGCAGTTAATATCTATAGCCAGATGTTTGAGCCCTGCCAGGTTCTGCAGCCCAAGGACGAGGCCACCTTCACCGTACTTGAACTGGCACCGTGCCATCAGTCCCAGCTTGAGCCTTTGGAGCTTTGGCATGGCTCCTGGCTCAAACTCCAATGCCAGGTCACACCAAAAACAGTGGAAATGAAACTTGAGCAAACGCTGAAATCCTTGTCTGCTGATTGCATGCCTTGGGTAGACGTTGCCTGAATCTCCCTCTTCGTCATTGAATAAGCCAACAGTAAGAGATAGCAGCATGGGTAAACTTGCTAGGATATTTATTCCATCCTTGTCTGCTTCACCAAGGACACGAATGCGGAGGCGGGTCAGGTTGACTAGTGAGCTGATTTGAGGGCCCACCCTATTTAAGTCACGTGTATTAAGAACAAGCTGTTGAAGTGGTGGTGAAGTAGGGACACACGAAGCCATGAATGAACATGTGGCAGGATGACTCTGCCACACACGTAGTTCTCGTAGGTGATTGAACAGCCTGGAGAGCGTTGAGATACATGCTTCCTTGTGATCCTCCATATCACGTAATTCAGTAGAGCATGACCAATCAATTTTAAGTAATTTTAGATTGGTCAGATCTCCGAGTCCTTGGATAAACTTTAGAGATTGAATGCCCAAATTGATCGTTGATAGCTCTTCCAACGCCTGCAGACTTCCGATTCCATCGGGTAGGCGCACCGACGAATGGACAAAAAGGCGCACCAACTTATGCAACTGGATAATACATGTTGGTAGGTTTTCAAGCCTGGCCCATCTCATGTCTAGTGTCTCTAGACGTTGCAGCTTTTCTATATCTTCTGGAAGCTTGCTGGACTTCAAGTACTTCAACTGACCTAAAGTTTTGACATGTCCAAGAGGGCATTCACAATATTCAACTTCAATATTCAGCACTCGCAAGACTTGGCTGTTTTAGAACTCTGTGGCATGCTTATTAACCAGAACTGAATTTGAGCCAAAGATATTGATGGATCGGATCTGAGCTCCATTTTTTATTGTCTTGGCAATCTCTTCCACCCGGGAAGGAATGTCTTTTTGGATGAATAGACGGCGAATCTTGTTCGAAGAATAATTTTTATAAAAACCATTACCATTCCATATAGTAACAAAGTTGTCCTCCTCGGCCTTTGATACAATGAAATCAAGTATGACATCATGAACTCTGCACTGTTTCACTATTGCGCCGTGTCCCCCAACCTTGGTTGGCTGCACCAAACTTCTATTGATGAGCTCATTCAAGTAACTTCTCCCTAGCTGCTCCATACTTTCCCTATCCTGTCCAGGAATCAGTCCTTCGGCTACCCATAGCAATATCAACTGTCAGGCAATCAATGGGATAATCCTCTGGAAACACACTCAGATATAACAAACAGCTCTTTAGATGGTGAGGAAGGTCAACGTAACTCAGCAGCAGAATTCTTTTCATCTTATCAATGGGAGAATCTTTGTCAACTGCAGTAGCAATAGACCTCAATACATTGACCCAGACATCCACGGCTTTGCTTCTGTTTGCTAATAAACAAGCTATACTGATTATGGCTAGTGGTAAGCCGCAACATTTCTTTAAAATATCATCGGATACTTTCCTCAAATCTGGGTGGCAATCATCACCGGACAAAAATAGCCTCTTAAAGAATAATCTTTGGGAGTCCTCGTGACTAAGGGGCTTTGCTTGATACATTTGTGCAGCAATACCAGTACAACAAGATTTGGCTACTAATTCAATGCGTGTTGTAGTAATAATTCTGCTTCCATTGTCATTGTGAGATAAGGCAGATCGTACAAGCTCCCATGCATCGACATTCCAGATATCATCAATCAAGATGAAGTACCTGCATACATTGGTTGTGGAATCACGTTATTAATTATGTAAGGCAACCATGAATTGAAGCGTATTCCAGTGAAGTTAAAGATGTCGGAGAAATATAAGATGGATCGTAGTGGCACACTTTTTTATCAGTAATTATTACACATGAGAAATACAGTCTGTAAACTACAAATATTTAAAAAATATGTTACAACCTCCAAAATGGTAAGTGCCGCATTAGAACACCTAGATACCCACTCAAAAGACATGACACATTCAGTTCAAAAGCTGAGTTCCAAAATGAGATATTTTTGGATATTTAGAATTCTGGTCATATTTTCCAAGAAGTAATTTTACTGAGTATGGATTAGATGGTGTAAAGTAAAAATTTTACCAAAATGATGCACAGTTGACTTGAGTTTGTTCATTGTTGCAACATCTTTAATGACGACATTTGATAGATATGCTGAGCCATTGAAGTATCTGAGGTAATTTTATGCTGTCAAGTTCATTAGGCCCGGAAAAAATGAATCATTTTTTAAAATTCCCAGAAAATTTCATAAATGGCCTAATAATTAGGTGAGCTCATTTGATGAACAAATATTGCACGACATTATTCTAGCTAGATGAACTGGTTAACTATTAGAAAAAGAAATAATATTGATTACCTCTTGTCCTTTAAGCATTCTTTCACTGTGCGGATGAGCTGCTCAACTGTCTCTAACATCTGTGGCTGGTCACAATGTCTCTGGCTTATTTGAGACAATATATCTCTAAGAAGTTTCTTCATATCTGGAGTTTGTGATACAGACACAAAAGCCCGGCTATCAAAAGCAGCTTCAGTGATTTTGTTGTACACCTCCATGGCGAGAGTGGTCTTCCCCTGTCCACCTATCCCATAGATGGACACCACCTTGTGCTCCTTGTCTTCACATCTCAATAAGCTGATGATCTCCTCACGAGGAGCATCGATTCCAACAAGATCCCTGGCCTCCTGAAAGAGTGCAGGTGCTCGAGGATCCAAGAGCACTGGCTGAGATGAAGAGGCGAGGAGACACTGATTGATGTCGTAGTAGCGTTTCCCCCGCTCGCTCTGCTCGCTCACGAGCCTCTTGAGTCGTCGGATCTCCTCTGCTATTCCTCTGTCCTTGAACAACGTTTTCACCATTTGAATGGCCTTGTGCACGAAGTTGGCCGTGGAACCTCCATCTCCATGGCTGTGATTGAGCACAAAACGGTCGATGCAATCCTCAATATCGTAGGACAGCTCACGCACCTTGCTCCTCCAGTCTTTGGCGAGTGGATCGATCTGGTCGTCGTCCTTGTCTTCGAGCCTTAGCAGCATGGCTTCCATGGTGCGCAGCTCGTCTTGCAGGGACCGGATCCCTTGCTTGACGTCTCTGGCGAGGTTGTACTTGTCGTTGAGCATGGCGGCCAGCTTGTCGATGACGGAGCCCAACACACCTGTGGCAGCGCTCGAGATCATTTCGGCCATCTTGACTCGCGACTACTGGCTGAGTGAAATGCTAGCTACCTTGTGCGGTGGTATGAGAGAGGATAGGTGATTCAGTTCTCAGGTTAAAGTGGGGCAAACAACAACATATCCCATTAGTTAAATATATAATTCTGCTCTAGATTCACGAGAACCACTCCAAGGAACGTTGTCGCTGACAGTCCACATGACGGCTTCAGTTCTCGAGAAGATTAATTTAAAGAATGCTTTTGAATTTGTGAAAGGGAGCCCTTTTTTTGCCGATCTCAGTGATATGTTTCGTTACACTGTTTCAAAAAATGTTACATCCCTTTATAAGTTTTGGTGGACGAAGAAAATAGCCACCCCCAATGCATATATAGATTCATGTCACTAGCTTTATAAACTAGTCTCTCAATAATAAATAGCTACCTACTATTGTAATCAAATATGACACGAAGTTTCCTTCCACTTTCCTCCGTAACCACTTTCTTCCACCAACTCTCTCTCTCTCCCTCTCTCTTAGTTTTTCTATTTCGGCCAGGCCATCTCAATCCGCAAGCCATGTGACGATAAGTGCTGCTGTGCTGGCGACGCGCAACTTGCGATGTCACGCCAGGAAGTAAAAACAATATTCAACTGGTTGAAGACCAAGCAAACCCCGATATCGTAGGATAGCTCATGCACCTTGTTCCTCCTGTCTTTGGCGAGTGGATCGATCTGGTCGTCGTCCTTGTTTGCAAGCCTCTGCAGCACGGCGTCCATGGTGCTTAGCTCGTCTTTTAGGAAGCAGATCTCGCGCTCCACGTCTCTGGTGAGCTGGTACTTCTCGCCAAGCAAGGCGGCCAGCTTGCCGAGGACGGAGCCCATCACGGCCATCACTGCACCAGAAAGCAACAAAGGAGACTCGTCAATCAGAGACGGTAAGCCAGACACCGTTACTAAAGTAGTACTGACAGGTGACATAAAGAATCGTCTCTGAAATATTAGTCCACAACCGCACAAGCAATATAATCTCTGATGACATAATATCCGAGACGTGTCTTACTATAAGCCGTCTCTAATATATCAAAGACACGCGTCCTGGAGGCCCGTCTGTTCTATAAAATATATCAGAGACGGTTTATTATCGAGAGACGCGGATCTTTTGTTACCAGTCTGCTCTAAAATACATATTAGAGACGGCTAGAAATTCAGAGACGGTTTTGATTGTAGCTCGTCTATTTTCAATAAAATATCAGTGACGTGTGGAATATCCCCGTCTGTGTGCTAACTGTAGCAGTGACGCGCACATATTACACCCCATCAGTGTCGTATCAAAGATGGCTCTCTCCTTGCTAGATATTGATCTAAAGCTATAACACGGCCGGCCGGCTTATTGTGTCCTCTCTCGCAAGCACTATTACTCTGACCTATTGCCACTCGGATGTGTCTGTCCAATTAGTCGACGCTCTAGCTATTAGATGGATCCCCTATCGACCTAGGTAGCCTCTGGATATGTGTAGCGTGCCATCGTTTTGGCGCATGGGGTGCCGGCGGCAGCGCGTGGAATTAGCTAGCTAGCTTGCTAGGTCTCCCGCCGGCAGCTGGCTATGGGCGGCCCACACAGGCCGTCGATCGATCGAGCTTATAAGTATACCCCCTACTCAATCTCTGCTAGCTGCACATGCCTCGGCTCTCTTGCAGATCGATATTATATTGTTCCCCTTCTTTAGTAGGTCTAATATCCTAATTAAGATTTTGCTGCTATATATATATATATATATATATATATATATATATATATATATATATATATACACCTGATCTCTCTCGGTCGACAATCTTCAACGTACTTATTCAGGTTTGTAGCAATAATTAACTAATTGTATAGTTAATAATATAATCAAATGTTTGATTAATTGTGAGATGCACATAGATATATCTGTATGCATACTGACACAGGTTTGTGTATATATTGAACATTTAATTTTGTTTTAGATGGATGACCTTACGTGGATGTATCTGAAGAACCGTACCTGTGATCAGTTTTTGCAGGGTCTCAAGTCATTCGTTACAGCAGCAGAGGTGGATATGTCGACTCACTGCAACTAATGCTATGTGGTGTCCATGCAAACATTGTAGGAATAACAAGAAATACTCCAGCTCATGTACGGTCCATGCACACCTGATCATTCGTGGTTTCATGGATGACTATCCATGTTGGAACAAGCATGGCGAGGAAGGCGTTAACGATCAAGACCTGCAGGACAGCCATATGGATGACATGAATGAGAAGGGGAAACTATTGGGAATCCGAGAAACTATTGCCTCATTCGTGATGTCACAACTCTGAAGGCATGAATGAGAAGGGGAAATTTACTTTGGACTTATGCGGGTTTGTAAACATTGATCTTGTGAGACATGTGCTGCAGTTGGTTACTTAATTAGCCAGTATGTCTATTTATCTATGCACAATTATAACTACTTTACTGATGAGAAATTCATGACTATCCTGTGATGAGCATATAAAGAGACACGGATTTGCATTCTAACACGTCTGTGATAAGCATCGTCAGAGACACGTTCTACAAGAAACCTGTCTCTAATGCAAGCATATTGCAGCCGCGCCTGAACGTACTGTATCAAAACTGAGATGTGCTCCATTAACGCTAATGTCTCTGTTTGAGCAATATCAGAGACGGCGCTTGTCGGGGAAAAATAGTAGGGTACCCAGAGAGAAGGAGCTAATAACCATCAGCATTGATTCATCCAAGTGATCAAGAGCATGACTGCGCCTCTCGCTGGGCACTGCCTCGTCCAGCCACCAAGGCCACGAGCTCCGCCTCGCCCGAGGTCTGAGGGCTGGCTCCGCCTCGCCCGACGTCTGAGGGCTATCTGAGGACTGGCTCCCCCTCGCCCGACGTCTGCGCACGACTCCTTTACAACAATGCACGGAGCAGATAAGGCAAGGCTCAAAAAGTCAACCGCAATACCGAGGACCATACCCTGTGTCCGTGCAGGACAGTCCCGTCAGGCCATGCCAGATGGGTGCTTTGCGACCTTCAAGGCATGTTAGAGCCCAAACAATGTTGTAGGTGCCGACATTTTTCCTACACTGTTGTGGGCTCCATCATTTGCCCTCGGGCACGGTTCCTTACGGAAGCTAACAACAACCGCTATGGTCTAGAAGGAAACTCGCTTTACCCACAGTAATGCGACGTGCTGTCACTGTGCTGCCTGCTCCGCGTGTGGCCGGTGATCAACACCTTGGTCCGCCGCGCCGCCCGCCGGGGCGGGATGGGACGTGACAACCCACTGACAATGCCAGGACTTGACATTGTCAGCGGACAGACGCCCAGCGTAGCCCTGTCAAGATTAGCGGCCATGCGCCCGGCGTGGGGTTATCCCTGCCACCGCCTGCCATGTCAGCGGGGCCCGCACAGAGAAAAAGGAAGACCTGGCTCCTTGAAGGGCTTTCTTTGCCTCTCGTTTTCCTCTTTTTCTCCTATCTGTAATCCCTGTTCTCCCTTGGCCTATAAAAGGGAAAACAGGGCACCCCACTAAGGGGATCGATCAATTCACTGCATCACAGAACACACCACAACAGAACCATAGTTCAGTAGCAACCAAGCTCTCAGCGTCCGTTCGACCTTTCCAACAGAGACTTAGGACATATCCCTCTCTCGCCCGTTTGTAACCCCTACTATGAACTTTTCAGTGCAAATAACACGAGCAGCAACCACGAACTGGACGTAGAGACATTCTGCCCGAACCAGTATAAACCTTGTGTCTTTTTGGCACACCATCCGGGCCAGACGCGTAATAACACAAATTTACTCATTGGTGTTTAATCAAAACACCGACAGTTGACGCGCCAGGTAGGGGCCTTTGTGCATCTCGATGTTCACAATCAGGCCACGGATGGCTAATCACGGCATCAGCTGGGTCCGGGGCGCACATGTGCGCTTTGGGGACCTGGACTTCGTCGTCACAGCGGAGGGAGAGCTGGCGCGGGTGCCCATTGTCGCTCAACCCTTCTAGCCCACTGGCCTTGATGCGATCTCCGAGGTGTTCGAGGAGCTACGGCTACGTGCGCCGGAGGCCCGTGCCCTCTAATACGGCCAGCCCCTTGACTTCGACCACGGGAGGCTTGAGCGCCAGCTCGGCGTCTTCCTGGGACCCCGGCCATCCCTGGAGGACCTGCGCCGCCTCACCTTCTCGTCCGCCAACATCATGGCGCAGCTCACTGGAGGAGGGCCACTCTCTCTGGAACGCCTCATTTGGAGCTCTCCGGCAGTGCTCCCGTTTGGTCTCCGCAACACCGTAGAGACCGTCAGCCATCGTGTGGCACAATGCATGATTCCATCTCCCCCGAACGTCGAGTTCATGGGGGTGATCGAGCATGTCATAGAATCTTTCCACGACCTCCTTGCAGAGGAGCCGGTATCACACTCTGGCTCTGACTCCAGCAGGGGAAGCCATCACCCTTCTCGTGAATGCTTCATGGCGGGTACCCCCGAGGGACACATCGAAAGCGTTCCTAAGGAGGAGGCAACCCCGATGACTGACCTCGGTGATGAGGCCGAGGGGGAGATGGTGGCCCCACCTCGCGTGCCGGTGGAGCAGCTGAAAGCCCGGCACCGGAGCTAGAGGAAGCACGACTCCAGCTCGAGCAGGAATGCGCGGAGCTCGATCGAGAGATCGAGCGCCATGGAGAAGGCGGGCGCGCACGTGCCATGGCCCACGATGTGAACTGGAGGATCATCATAGATGATGTAACCCTCCCTCGCTTTGCTCGAGTGAGCTAGAACATCGCCGCTGCTACGGCCTTGCTCCGTGGTCTTCTAGAGGCTACGACACCGGAGGATCATCGGGCCCACCACAAGATTCGCACGCTGCTCAAACGTGTGGCGACGCAGCAAGATGAGAGCTCGTTGTCTCAGTGATGTGAGCTCGACGCCAGCCAGCGCACGCCCTCAAAGTGTCCCAGCAGGGACACATCGGTCCACCAGGCGCCGCAAGGCGGCAGGCAGCGCACCGCA